GAGTTGGAGAACAAAAGGGGTGAAAGTTTTTCTCGCCCCTTTGCCAAACTCGTTCACTCGCTCTCTTTGCCCTTCCCTGCTTGCCCTTAACCTTTGCACACAGTTCTTCCTTTTTTCTTTTTCCTCCCCCCGAGGGTTGAGTCACGCGAAACTCCCGCGCTCGACCACCACCCCCCCTCGCGTTGCGTTAATTAATATAAAAAGAGACTCGTATATGATTTCACGCTCGCTTTTAATTCTTTACTTCGATAGATGGAACAGAAGCGAAATGAGAGAGCGTTCTTTCGATCCGGGACCGATGGGGAAATTAGTTCGATAATTTATCGTTTAAAACGTAATAATAATAAAAATAATAATAATGGCGAATTATATTGTAGCGGCCGCTTTTTTTATACAAAAAGCGGGTCAATTATAATATAGTTAATGAGTAAATGTTGTAACAAGTAATTATTTAAAGTAACTTTATTCGAAATTTTTATATCTAAATTTTACGTTTTCAACAGATCATCTTTCCTTTGATTTTCCATCCGATAATCGCGCATGCGCCGATCGCATACCGATTATCAATTCAAACGTATGAGTCAACTCGTTTATTAGCATTACGTGTAAACGGCGCTAAGGAAAAAAGACCGCATCCCTACGGAACGAAAGAGCGAGAAAACCGCCAAAAAATCGCTTCTCTCGTTTCTCTAAAGAAGGATTTTTCAATTCGATCGTACATCTTCGCGTCCTCGAGAGATCGATTTCCCTTGATCTGATCGGTTCCGATTTCTCGATTTCTACCCATTGTTACGTAAACTTACTCGTTACGTGCGCGATAAATAATTGATGAATCACGCGAGCCTTGGATTTTTTTAAAGTCGCGATCGAAAATTAAAATTGGATTACCTTTGGATTACACGGGCAGAGATAAGATTGGAAGAGTGGTGTGATACGCGTACGGAGAAATATGTGACTGTGCAACTGCGTGCGTGGGGGAAACGTCATATCGACAACATGCGGGTCTTTCACTGTTTCACCCAACACCGTTGTTTACGACCGGGTGCTCGGCGAGCGAATCGAAACAGCTGTTTTGATGTCGACGAGGGCCGATTGATTATGCAAATTTATATTTTATCGTCGGATACGTTACATCTTCGATAAATAAATACGACGCGTGTTACATTATTTTTAGCGCGGGCTAAATAAATGTTTATCGTGTAACAAGCATCGCAAGAGGGAACAAAATGGTTTTCTCCACGATATCATTGAGCTAATATTTAATCTTAGCGGAGCGAAAAGAACGTTTTTTTCACGCTCGAACATTATCTCGAACATAGTTTGCCACTGGGTGAACTTGGGATTAAAGGGAAGAAGAGGAAACGCAAATCCGTTTCTTTTTCTTTTCTCCTTTTTCTAGCGTTAATTTATCTCCAACATCGTTCGCCCAAGTGGATGAACAACTCGGGATTAAAGTGGAAGAGGAAACGCGAATCCGATCGTTTATCGTTGGCGATGGAATCGAGGATAAATCGACGACGACGTGTTTTCAACTCGTGCATACACGTTTCAAACCGAAGCCACTTTTCGCGACAAATAACGCGGAGTGGAGGTAAGCGTATCCGGGAAGTTTGGGCCATTGAACCGAGTTACCAGCAGAGTACAATGAGCGACAGAAGCGTGGACGACTGTCGACCAGCCCCATTACCGATTTCTCCGACAGATATGTCTCATTTCCCGCAGGAAATCGAGTCGATGCTTCGTGCCCCTCGAATCGTTATAATTATCCTCTTCCTCCGTTGCCAGACTTCGACCAATAAATTTTTCATCGAAAAAGAGTAAGGCTAGAGAGAGAGAATGATAATCTGGATCGATAAACGAATACACGAATTCACTCCCATAACCAAACCACACGCTCATAATCGTGCAAAAAAAGATCGCACACGTTAAAATGTTAGCCATTACTTAAAGAAATTCGTTCGTTCGACCTTCTATGTTACGAATAAACGAAGCAGAAATGACGTGGAACTGGTCTATATGAAATACATAGGATATAGAGAGCAAGGGGCAGAGAGGGGCACGAGTCGTTCTTCGTGCTGGTGTCATAACACGGTGGTGTACAATGACATCTCGCTATTACGAGCCAACGTCGCGTTACACACCACTACTTGTAATTCCTTAATGACTCGGAATGCCGAGTCTTTCTCTCTCTCTCTTTCTCTTTCTGCTCGAAAGAAGTGAAAGTATCCTCGCGATATACCAACGTCGATGGACTATTACGAGAACGAAAACTCGGCGAAGAATCGTTTCGTGACATCGATTATTCTCCTCTAAAAGAACTGATCTGGATAGATTCGTTTATCCGTTAGGGTTCGTCCGTTGATCGAACGTAAACAGAAATGGAAGGGGGGAGAAGAGGAAGGAGAAAGAGAGGTCGTTACAAACGACTCGTTCGCTCGTTCGATCAGGGCCGTGACGGTAAAGACGACGAGGTCGATTACGTGTTCCAGAAGGACGCCAGAAGGGGAGACACGAGACGAAGGCACACGAGGTGGAAGGAGCCAAGGGGGGAATATAATTCAGCGACTTGGAAGCCGGTTTTCCATAGGCATAGCCTCTATCTCGCGAAACTACTCGCGAACTACGAGCAAGAAGGATGAGTCACGGCTGTGTGTCGCCCGTCCCGTATCTCTTTCTCCCTTTTCACCGTGATCGACCATGCGAAAGACGGAGAGAGAAAAAGAAACGAAAGAAAAGGAGGAGGTTAGCCCTCGAGAGACTGCCTACGCGCGATCACTGGAAAATGGAGAGAGATTGAAAAACCTACCCTCTCGATTCGTTGCCCTTCCTCCTTTCTTCCCACCCCCTCTCTGCGATCGAAAATAGATCGAAATATTCGATTCGATCTCTCCGGTAAATTCGTTCGCTTTTATCATTTTTTTTTTTTTATTCCGTCGGTAAAGTAAATAACGTTCGATAATCGCGAAAAGAGCTCGAGATTTATTGGACGTCTCGAGGCCAATTAAAACACCGATCGAAGTTTCCGATCCGTGACGGTTATCGCGCCGCCTGTTCCCGATTACGAAGACGACGACGACGACGATTGCTCGAAGATCGAAGAGAGTCCCTCCCTCCCCTTCTATATACATTCTATATATATTCTATATATATATAGCTATTTCTACGTAACATCGCGGTTCGATAATCGGTCGGCTGATAAATCGATCGATCGATCGGCGGCTTCGTAAGTTCATTGCTAGGTCGTGACACGTGTGCAATTGCACGGGCTAAATGAACCGCTTAGAAGCAACAGTTGGACGATCTCCATATTCTCGCCGTCGGCCGGATAAATTGAATGTATTTATCGATTCTAACGACTACGTCTTGCTCTCGAAGAGGGATTGTTCGATATTTCTTCTTCGATTGACCGATATTATTCCACACTGGATAAGATAGAGAAAAAAAAGAGGGGG